AGACATGGGATCTAGGGAACAGGGGATCCATTATAGAAGTCAAGCAAAGAGACCCTTTCCTAGGGTATGAAGAGGAATCGCAGGTGGCAGTTACACACTGGGTCCAGTAAGCAACCAGTCCAGATCCAAACAGAAAGGAGGGCCCCCAGAAGGATGTGTTTCCAGCTCTCCCCCTCCCAGAACAAAAGGACCTAAACTGATTACCTAATATTTTCATAGGGACTGGGTATATTGCAGAGGAGATTTACACTTCTGGCAGACAGCTGAGAATGAGTTAGTGATCATTTTTGCTTAAGTACAGAGAAACCTAAGGAAAGATAAAAGAAGGAAAGAAGGAGAGAGACAGAGAAAGCCAATTATTAACTCTGGGAAAACCTAAACTTATAAAAGATAGGAAATGTAACTATACCTTGGCATACACCACATCTCTGAGTAATATTTATATAGTTACACCAATTTATATAATTACACCAATAGTGTAATTGGTGAATATTGACGCAATCAAAAATGATAAAGCAACACACTAAGAGAAGATGAAGAGGGGGCGTGTATCCTGAGGTTGCAGGACGTGGTTTCTTATTAAGAGCACTAAGTTTTTACCTTCCATAGGAAGAAGTCAGTAAATAAGACCCAAAGCTGAAAAAAAAAACAAGAAATGATGTTGCAAGCAAGTTATTAGAAATATGGCAGTAAACAGCAGAAGAAACAGCTTAAAGTTGAAAGAAGTTGCCTCCAGAGACTAAGAATTAAAGAGGAAAGGAGTGGAGCCAGAGATTGCTGTTTTTTATTATGAGCTTTGTAAAAGATTTGGCTTTTTCAATAATGTACATGTACAGTCAGTTATTTAACGTACATGTAGAACTTTGATAAAATAATATTAAATTTTAAAAGAGGGAAGGTGACATATATCTTTGTGAGCCACAAAATAAAACTAGAGTGAGTCATTGGTATGACAGTAAACTCAAAATGCTTGGATTTTAAAGCTAAAACCTTGCTCTTCTATTCATTCTTGCTTTTCTCATTCTTCTCAGGAGATTGATTAATTCACAGTAAAAAAAAAAAAAAAAAAAAAAAAACTCTGTGAACTACTAATTACTAGCAATTAATGTCCCTTTTCCTTACGTCCAGTTGCAAATCACTGTTGCCTAAGAACTAGGGACTGCCAAGCTCATTCTAAGGAGTTGTACAGCTCATAATGTACCTTGCAAAAGCCAAGGTGAAAATCTACACTTCTTGTTCTAGTTCCCTTGTGTGACTAAACAAAAGGCATAAATAGCAATGTGACTCTCTGCAGAACTGAATGTGTACCAGGTGCAAGGACAGATCGCACTTCATGTTAGTGAATACACCAAGGATTTCATTGCTAAAGGACGTCACTCTGCTGAGAAGAATTACTGCCACCAGAGGACCTTTATTAGCAGAAGCAACTATGAGTGAATGAAAATGCAACATAAAGCAGCATGGGCATTTCCAAAAAAGCACTAGAAAATCGATACCTCTTTGGATTTATCCAAAGAGCAGCCCCTCCTCCCCTCTTTCAGATAAAGCAGCAGTGGTGTGCTGCTTTATCATGCCAGTTTTCCAGATAGATGCTAACAAAGAAGTCTCTCCTTTGTTGCTTTCTTCTGCCTAAAAACATTTTTAAGCTAATGCCGATATCAGGTTAGCATGGCACTGCAGCCATGATTCTCATCTATGATTTGGGGGAAATTAAAGTATAACAATGGAATTCTACTGGGCATTCTCTAGCTTCCCTCATTACTTACTTGTGTAAATACAGATTCTTGCCTGATGACCATCAATGGTGAAATTTACAATGGGGATTTCTTTGTCCCACTGGTCAAGTGAGCCCACCAAATACTAGATGCTCCAACTCCAGTTCCTGAGTTCAGCCATATCTAGTTCACCTACTCCCAACTGACAAGAAGAGAATTTTTGTCCCATTTTGAAGCAAATCTCCCACAGAAGGAATAAAAATTTCTGTAGAACAAGCAGTTAGGCATGATGTGTATGGAAAGAAACCAATGCAATCTGGGTTTTAAGAAACTGTGGCTGTGGAATGTCTCTGAAATGATTATGCCGTCACAGGATCCAGTTAGCCATTTCTGAAAACTTGATTTCCATTGTGCTGGCTACTTTGGCATGCTTTCTAATTCTCAGATGGTTTCCATTCATTCAACTCAAAAACATAAGTGCTAATTGCCTTGCTCTGGATTCTCTTTGTAGGTGTAAACTTTCCATCTAAGGCATAAGGGTCTAGTCCCATGATTCTTGTTAATGTTAATAAATAAAGTTCTATAGTAAAATGTTGGCCAGGGTAAAATAACTCTCCAAACATATGGACTCAAGATGATCATTCACACACAAGCAACAAAGAACTGAATCCAAGAACCTTAATGTTTAGTTTTCCTCCTACCTCAGACTGGTTTTCTACCCCATATATCTGCAAATAGGGGAAAAGAATTTATTCCTTGATATCTGATAAAACTGTGTTGCACTATTCCCGTATAGAGAGATATTCTCAAAGTGAGGATTTTTCACCCATCACCACCTGTTCCAAGGGAGACATTTACTAGGCATGATGCACGGGGACAGACAGGACCTATACACGAAAACAATTAATTAATTATCAATGCCAAGTAGAGGTTCCTAAATGACAAATGAATGACATAAATTAAATAATGCCATAGGAATTGGGGAAGGAGGGGTATGCTGGGCGGGGGAAATAGATCAGGAGGAAGTGACAATGAACTGAGCTTTTAAGAAAGTTTGAGAATGAACTAAATGGAGAGACAGCATAGTATAATTTTTAAGAGTATGAACTCTGGAACAAACTGCCTGGCTTTAAATCCCAGCTGTGCCACTTAGTTAGCTATGTGGCCTTAAACAGTTTGCTTAATATTGCTGAGCTTTAATTTCTGTACTTGTAAAAGTGGAATTAAATAGCATCTGCCATATCAAGAGATGCTGAGATTAAATTTAGTCAAAACATGTAAAGGACTTAGAACAATGCCTGATATAAAGCAAGTCCATAAATACAGTTACTGCTATTATTATTATTATATTTACTATTATTACTATTATTATTATCATATGGGAGAAGAGTGGAAAAGACATTCCTGGCAAGGAAAATATGCCAACAACTTTTAAAAATTAATAAATTATTTATCATATTTAATCACATGGTTATGCTGATATGAAAAGCTCATGCTAGCACCAACATCAGCATACAAATGAACCAGCAATTTGAAAAGGTAAGTATTTAAGTGGTGAGATTTCACTTCATTTATGAATTGCCCATAGCTGCTTTGGAAACTTTTATTTGCCCAAAACATAAAAAGTGGAAGCGTATGTCATTAATTTAAAAAGAGACTTCACATATTGGTTTCATGACTTCAGCTCAGTCAGACATGAAGACCCAGGTGCACTGGATGCAGGGCATTAGCACAACACCAAAAAAACCAAGAAAATGAGGTGCTGAACAGTCCACATGATTTAGAACTCATTCCACCAGTCATCACTATGAATGCAAATGTCTCATTTACATAAAGCCCACTCATATTGATGCTAATCGGGAGCAAAGGAGAAGCTATCACCTCCTAGCCAGCATCAGATACAGGAAATCAGAATTCAAATTATTCCCACTGGAAATGGTAATAGGATCTTTCAAATTGTTATGTTCATCAGCTTTAATATTTGGGTATTAATTCAAGAAATACCTACTGAGTAAAGAGCATTTATTGAGTGCTTACCATGACCCAAGCATTGTCCTAAATGTTTTTGTGCATTTTTCATATAAATTTTTACAACAATCCTAATTAAAAGGTTCCATTATTATCCCCTCTTTTACTGATAAAGAATTGAGGTTAAAAAAGCATGAGGGTCCCAAAGTGTGTCTATCTGATTTTAAAGCCCATGCCACCTGCTCAATATTAATTAATTTAACTCCAATGGCACCCATCTCCATGTGTTCATTCCCACTCCCATTCCTAGAAACAAAGCATCCAAAGAGTGGCTCCTTTTCTTCTAAAGCAGAAAGGAGAAATATGGAAGGAATAAGAATGGTAGTAGCAACAATACCATTGAATTGTCCACCTGAGCACACAGGAGAAAACCCAATACTTACATTGTCATTACATGCCATTCTGTTTTAATCAGGCAAGGGTAGCGATAATCTGAATCTAACTGAGGAACTACACAGCCACAGACACCAGGTACAAGATGCGCTGCCTAAGTGGTTGTTCTTAGCAACTACTGAGAACAACTTAAAAGGTGTAATGCAAGGAAGTAAGATTAATACATTTATAGCCAGATGCATCTGATAATTTCTCATGGTACCAGAGTTCTTAAAATGTTTTATTTCGGGCAATCTGTAGGAGTAAGACACAGAAGCCAAGTGAATCAGCACAGAAACTGGCTGTTGATTCTTTGATTTTGACAGCAATATTTGTTTTCATTTTGAGAAAATTGTTTTGGGATCTTGCACCAGCTTATATGCCATTCTGTTGGCAGATGCTTCTCCCCATGGCTTCCCCCACACAGGATGGGTCTCAGCTCCACCAAAGATTCCCACACCCTACCTCCCTGGGTTTTCATACCCACACTGCTATGCAGGTTCCCACAGAGGGATTCTTTTAATAATGCATCTCTTAATTCCAAGCACCACCCACACGACAAGATTCAGGGGAAACTCACTTTACAAACAAGTTGGGGGTAATTAAAATCAAGTCCAACATAAGGCAACAACTTTAAAACCTTTAAATACGGTTATTTCCAGAGTTCGTGAGAAAAGTTAAAAAAAAAACCAAAAAACATAAAACAAAGTTAAGCTCTTTTCAAATGAATCCCACGGATGCACATCCACATTACTGTCTTCTATACACACCCTTTTAGAAGAAACCTACTGCCTGACCACAAAAGTTTCTTTTCCTGTAGGATCAAGCCATAAGACACCAGCAGCAATGGAGTCCCAAACCTACGTTTAGCCACCAATAACCACCATGGTGGATGGTGAGGTGGGGTGAAGAAGTTTCAATACTCTAGGTTAGTCTCCACCCACCCTAGGCCCAGGTAGCCCTCTCACTCTTCCTGGTTCTTCAGCAGAGAGGCATTGTATTAACACACACACAGAAATTTTCAGCAAATGTTACCAGAGAATTTTCAGAAAATCACAACCTCAATCCATCTTAAGGAAAATAAGTATTTCCTTAAATACAATATACATTGACTTTCTTCTCAGTGTGTGGTTTCCCACAGACTCATTCTCATGCCCAGAGGCCAAGATCAGGAAAAGCAGTCTTTCCATACCACTAAGGCAGGTGCCCCTATTTACTATCTTCTGACCATACCCACAGCCTAGCTAGCACTTCAGAGAGATCCCTTTTCTCTCTCTCAAGCTTGATCAAATTCTTGGACATGGCATCTGTCATACTCATCACTGTAAACAGAAGGATCAAATGAGGACTCACCATTGCCTGGTTTATAGCAACTGTTCTGTAGTCAAGAGCAATGTTCTATCACTTCCATTTGCGGGGGGGTTATTTAATACAAATAGAAATTAAATAAAATTTCCTTGTATACTTTCATTCTAAAATTGTAGCATTTGAAGAAAAAGCCCATTTTGTAAAATATTTCATGCTGGTTGGCTCTGTTGTTCCAAGTAACACCTACTTAGTGCAATAATTTTGTGTGTTTATTAGACAGGGCTGTAATACTTATATGCTATCCATGGTAGGTATTTCATAAATTGCTCCATATCAGATTAGCCTAAGTGTTAAGAAAACCATAAAAATTTTTTTCTTTATAGTTCAGAGTCCCTCATCTGCTCCCTCTCTTCTCCTTTTCTGACTTCCTTTATTCCCTCCTTCCATCACTACCTTCTTTCAGCTACCATGTTTTCACCCCAGAATATTTGAGAATTAAGGGTTGGAAGCAAATCTGAAACATCTAAATTACAAGAAACTAAAATTGTGTACTTGTGCTTTTCCCAGGTCCTTAAAAGTGAATGGATATAAAGCAATATGCAAAGCATAGAGCTTGCTATTGCTTTTAGAGCTCTAACATTTTTAGAAACTCATGGATAGGAAGAATAAGGGAAGCCTGGCAGAGAAATTAAGAAGTAGTTTCATTATTCAGTGGTCCTTAACAGAATTATAGAGGGAATAATTTGGAAGATATAGATTTGACACCATCATCCCAGTCGTAAACTGACAGGACAAAAATTATTTACCTAAACCAAGAGTCAGGAAACTAAGGGCCATGGACCAAAAACCCAAGACACTGCCTATTTGTGTTAATAAGGTATTATTGGTAAATGTGTACATTTACCCATACATTTACTTATTGCTCATGGCTGTTTTTTCACTGCAATGGCCAAGTTGAATAACTGTGACAGAGACTATGCGGTCCATAAGGCCTGAAATATTTATTATCTGGCTTTTTACACAAAAACGAATGTAATATTCAGAAATCTTATGTCTCATACATTAATTAATATGAACAGAAACAAGATCTCTAAAAGTATATTCATCATCAATTTGTATCTTATGTTGTCCTTGCATTTGAAGTCACCACTACTGCGGTGATTGTTAGAACATGTTGCGTCTATGTCCTATAGTGCTTATCGGTGGTAAATGAGTGATGCTCACAGTCTTTTTCACAAGCGGAACATGTAGAAATTGGCACTTGGCTTAATCACTGCCAAACCTACCAGCAAACCCTTCTGCAGACTTCTTGGAAACTTCTCTTACCGCTGTTTCTGATTGCTATAAGCCATGATATTCCAATGATCTGAAGGCATTAATGCTGTAGTTGAGTACAGAATGAAATTTCATTGGTTCAAATTCTGATTCTACAATTAATAGCTGTGCAAATAAATAAATAAATAAATAAATAACAATTAATAGCTGTGCTTTGGTTTCCTTGCCTATAAAAATGGGATAATAACAGTATCTACCTCGCACTGTAAGACATCTAGAACAGCGTTGGGCAATATGTGCTTACTTAGCACTCCATAAGTACTAGCCATAATTTTATTATTTGCAGGTATGCTTCACTCTGTCGTGAAATATGTGTTGTGTACTCCAGAATAACAGTTACTTCACTTTACCTTGTAATTCTGAAATTGACTGTGTGTTCCACGTAATAGTTTCATGTTAAACATGGTTATGTCTTAGAATTAACCCATTAGTCAATCAGTAAGTATATGTATGGTATCCACTCCATGCAGAGCAAGACATTAAAAACTGCAGGGATACAAACTAAGCATGAGAGCTCTTTCCCTCGGTGGTAGCGGAGGACAGTGCAGATGTGGCCAAGTTTAAGGTTCAAGACCCTTACAGCAAAAAGGAGGAGCTGCTTAAACAGTTGGAAGACCTGAAGGTGGAGCTGTCCCAGCTGCACATTGCCAAAGTGACAGGTGGCAGGGCTTCTAAACTGTCCAAGATCCCAGCTGTTTGCAAACCCACTGCTCGTGTTCTCACCGTCATCAGCCAGACTCAGAAAGAGAACCTCAGGAAATTCTACAAGGGTAAGAAGGATAAGCCCTGGGATCTGCAGCACAAGAAGACACATGCCCTTTGCCACCAGCTGACCAAGCAGGAGGAGAACCTGAAGACCAAGAAGCAGCAGTGGAAGGAGCAGCTATATTCACTGCAGAAGTATGCAAGGCCTGAGCACCAGGATCAATAAAACACACACAAACTGAAGGAAAAAAAAAAAGTAAGCATAAGATAGAATCCAGTCCCTAGTAGAACTGCTAGCATTGGCACCTGGAGAAAATGTTCTATCTGCCCATAGCACAAGCAAACCAAAAACAAAACAAAACAACACCAACAACAAAAACCAGTGATTATCCTCTGACATTCTTCCAGGCAAAAGGGAATGGGTAAGTCAGAACACCTTTAATATGGAATGAGGCATGGAAATCCCATTGTAATTAGTCTGTGCCACTCAATTTAGCATTTGTAAAAATTCAAAGGGAAGAGAGAGCTCAGTGAAGCCTGCAGTGGTCCTGTGGGGAAGGCTTCATGGATGAGGAGAAATATGAATTTATGTATATAAACAGAGAGGGGAGGTCTTGTAAAGCAAAGGATCACAAAGGCAGTCTGCTCATGACATGGGCAGTGGTTATGAGGTGAAGCTGTTCACAGGGGCCACATGTGAGATGTGGACTTGGCCTCAAATCTAATGGCACAAATAATACAAGAATGTGAATAAAGGATATAGAGGGACTGTGTGGGCTTTTTATGGAAATTGCCAGCCTCTCAAGTTTTCAAATGGAGGCACTGGTTTGATGGTATCTGCTGCATTTAAAACTTGTTCAGCTCATAGTTAGTTGTCAAGTGCAATCCTGAATGTGGGGGCAGGAAAGGATGGTGGGGCAGGTCAACTTAACTTTGAGTGGGACAATGAAACGGAATGTTAGAATCTCAACAATTTGTCGGATGGTTCGGAAGAGGATCACTTAGAGTCAGTGAAGAAACTAAGAAGCCATGATTGAGGTGTAAAGTAGGAAGAATGTAACATGGAGATAGGAAAGACCTTCAGAGTGATAAATGAGAAGGTTAGTAACAGACTAGTCACAGCAAGTGAAGCGGGGGAGGGGAATTAAAGATGACCCAAGGGCTGCCCCAGAGGGACCTTAAGAATAATGATGCCCCTTGGCCACAATCAAAGATTGGCAAGGAGGACAGGCTCTGCATATTACTTCCTGTTCTCTGCAAAAGTACAGTAGTATGGTAGAGAACAATGACTTTACAAACACTGCATATAAACATCTACTGGATTCCTTTTGTGTGAACTTCAAAAGAATAGTCATGGCTCCAGTATTATGGCATCCATAATTCACTATCTTGAAAATATTTCCTATAAAACTAAAACTACAATCTGTATGTGGGAAGCTGACTCAGAGCCAAGCTGCCCCTTTGGCAGCAATCTGGGGAGAACCACCTACTGCTGCAGAGTCAGCTTTTCTCAAAATGTGTATTTGGTTAAAATTTTTTTTAATAAAAAATAAAAACTTAGTGCCCTGGAAACACTTTCCAGCTACACCAAACCTTCCAAAATTTCTTGTGTGAACAACCCACTACTCAATAGTCCTGAGTACTCATAAATCTCTAGAAGGGAAGGACTCAGACACCCAATAGGGTGATTATGATATTCAGACACCCAATAGGGTGATTATGATATGAAGGAAAAGGAGGAAGCATGTGTCTGAAATCCACCAATTTATGGTAGATCTGATTCTTTCCATTTAAGTTATCGCTTTTAAGTAAATACTGTCTTTCAGATCCCCCACCCCGACCTCTGCCCCTCCCCAAGGAAGGATCTGGCTATATGTAGGGGTTAAAAGATGTTGAAGTGGCAGAAAGAGAGCTCAGATCTATGCACTCAGGTTCTTCTGCTGGCCTCAGGACTCCATAACAGTGCGGCCAAGAGAGATGAAGAGAGAGATGTTGGCACCTTCTTCAACCAAGAACATTACACTTTCCTGACTTATGTTCTCCAATGCACCAAGGTGAATGACACCCAACAAAAAGGGCAGAATAATGGCAGCCTCTATGCTACACCAGGGGAAGTGCCGACTGGCTGGGCAATGCCCAGCAGAGGGCACCACAGTGCCCAGGGAACTGAGTCCTGAGTCTGGGCCAGGAAAATAGAGGATCAAATAAGTGCTGACATTCATTCATGAGGTCAGTTGACCCAAACTTCCTGAGTAGTTGGGAAAAATACTGGGTTGGGTTTTCAAGGGGCTTGAAGCTCTGCAATGTCCAACAGGGGTAAAGGCAGTATACAGTCATTCAGACTGCATTATCCTGACTGTAGGCAAGGTCTCATTCTGTTGCCATGGTCAGCAACTTTAAGAGAAGAGCTTGCTCCCAGCCTCTGCTTCACTAGCACCACTGACCCAGCCCCATCTTCTGCCTTCTTCAGACTGCTCCTTAGCTCAGCTGTCACCTACCCCAGCGCTATGGTCTAGGGCTCAGGAGATGTTTTTGAGAGAGAAGGTCCTAGTTACCTTACACTCCTTATATATTTTTAAAAATTCATTTTAAACGTCAAAGATTTACCCAGATTATAATAATTATGGCTAATATTTGTTGAGTTCTTATATTGTGATCAACACACTTACATATGTAATACACAGAGCAACATTTGGAAGTAGATAGTATTCCCCTTACCTTTCCATGGTTGGGGCCTGAGGCACAGAAAGGTTAATTATCTTGTTCTAAGTCACAGCCAGTAAGGTGGCAGAATGAGAATACAAACCCAGGCATTCTTATTCCAGAGCTGTTTTCTTAATCAGACATAGATACATACATACACACATGATAGGTACAGACAGACAGACAGAAGGTAGATGGATAGATGAATAGACACACACTGATATGATACCTAGAAAATTAAAAGGAGCAAAAATGTAAGATTTTTAGGACTTTATATGTAGAAGACACTTCAGAGACCATCTGGTATAGTGATTTTCAAACTGGACTAAATCTTCTCCAGGGAGCAGATTCAGGCAGTGTCATGTAGGTTAGGTGAGCAAGGGAGTGGTTGAGGCAGCAAGGCTCAGAGGCCCTCTATCCCTACTATAACCTGAACAGCTCTGCATTTGTCTGTTTTATGTACTAGGAATCTGTGTAAGACTTCTTATAGAAGAAAATTATGTTGCTAGAAATAACTTGAGAATCGTTGTTATCTATCCCAGTCATCTCATCAAAAATGAGAAAACTGAGGCCCAGTTTCATTTGAATCACACAGCAAGTTATGACAAAGTTGAACTAAGCACTTACTCTCCAAACTCATCTGTGGGAAATATGCAACACCCACAGGTGACTTTCAACTTTCCCATCAGGAGCTACCGTTGAAGAAACTACTTTATTTTTTCTTTTTTTAGGGTTGGGAGTGGGGTGGTGGGTAAAGCTTGTCCTATTAGAAACAAATGAATAATCCTTCAATAGTAAGGTAAATGTGACCTGAAAAAAAAAATTACAAGGGAATCTTATTCTGTTACCTGTCACCTGCTCCTTGAATAAGAGTTTTCCTGTGGTTTATGTGAGTCTTTTACTCCAGTAAGGGAATCCTCCACTAGCACTCTGTCTGATGCTGTGATCACACCAGGATTGCCAAACAGAGAAGAAAGACTTCTTTGGCAATCCTCATCCCAGGTCAGCTGTGTCCTCTTGGGTATCAAAGAAGGATTACTTTGCTGGCAGAGAGTTCCTAATAAGTTTAACACAAGGACGAAGTCTAAATACCCTGCTGCAAGGAGCACATGAAGGCAAAGCCCTCTGGCTGGCTATATAGGTAATTCAAATGGAAAATGTACTGCAGTGACGTCAACTTACAGGCTCAGAAACCTGAGGTTGCTGTTCCAGTCCCACTAAGAGAAACTCTATCTCACGGGAACAGACTCACATGAGTAATCAAACACAAAGAATCCCAAATATACACACAGGACACACAACACGATGCCCATCTGTTAACTCATGGTGAGAAATTCTACTCTCAAGTGGACTGAATTGTTCACATTTACCAAATTTTGCTTTTCTTCCCAGTAAGCAAGCTATGCACAGAGCAGCTGATCATATATACATATATAATCAATGAAAAAAATCAGATTATAAGTAGAATATCAAGTCATTGACTTACAGTGAGAAACACACAATGCTCAGGAGACTGAATGATCATACAGTCAGCACATTCATTCCCTATAAACAAATGGCTTCTTTAGGATACCAAGTTATTTGCTGCGAAGTTATGGAATTAGAATTGAGGGACACGGGTATCTTAAGAAATGACTCTCAAAATAGGAAGGTTAAGGCCTGTTCATCTAGTACTGGATAAACCTGTCAAGGAAAACAATGCTTGTGTGCACCAGTCAAGAGTCCCTCCCTTTGATGAGGTTGGATGAGCCCTGCTCACACCTGCCCCTAATCTCCTTCTATGATTCCATGGCTAGCCAGGCCCCTCTGATGCACTCAGACTCTTCCCCACTCAGATCACAGCTGTTTTACCACCCTGGAGTTGCTCTTTCTTCACATAGCTAAAGTACCGTAAGGTACTGATTTTAAACTTTAAGCTTTCAAAAGGAGTCTTATTTCCCTCCTTTTTGTCATTTTTTGTGGAGGAAGGAAGAAGGAGGAGATTGTACCAGTAGCCACAATCCAGGTTATATAAAATGAATCATTCAACTAATTCTGTAAATTTAGAATTCCATATAGAGAGCCTGCCAAAGTAAGATAAAGCACCTTTTAGGAATCATTAATGTGTGTCCATATAGACTACTATTGCTTCATTATAAATCAATTCCATTTTCCAGCTCTGCACTATTTTGAAAGTATGTTTTTACATCCTTATCAGACTAATAAGATTAAAGGATTTATTTTACTGATATATTAAACACACAATAAATGCTGTACTAACAAATCTAAGGGCAGATTCACCAATATTCTACGAGTTAAAACAAAATAGATTACTTTTTAATAGTTTCATGTTGCATGTCCCTTCCATTAAAATTCAATCATCCATCCCATGTCTCAAACTTACTGTTCCATCTAAATACAGCATGTGTTCAAATAGATGTATCTTACATCACATCTTCTATTTTAATAAACTTGTACTAGCATACATGGGGTGTCCCTATTCTGAATGGACTTTCCACCTAGAATATGCACCTTTCTTTTTCT